TTTTAATCATGTTAAGCAGGATCTTGTCTTGAATAGAAAATGTTTCTATTCCTTTCAACAAGAAAGGTCAAAGGCAGGCAATATGCTGGCTGTAGTGTATGTTGGGCTTAAAAACAATAAGTATTGATTACTTTTATTATGCAAAATCTATACTTATTACTAACCTGCAGCAATTACTCACTGTAGAACATAAAATATCTATAAAAAGAAAAAAAAATCACATTCAGCATTATTAATTATATAATACCTGATGATATATGAGAAAAAGAGGTAGGCCTAAGAGAAGAAAGGGGAGCCGAAGGAATAAGAAAGTTGCTGCTGATGAGAGTTCCACCAATCAATAAACTAGATCTACTACTAGATTTATCTAAATGAATTAAACAATATAAACACTGCAGGTGTGTGCAATAGTAGTGTACAAAAATATGTGTGGCATGATAAGGTGGGGGGAAAATTTGTAACTGTACGCTACCACTACTACTGCTGCTTATGACAAAAGTATTAGTAATAACAAATGATAAACTCCAAATTGTTGACTTTTGTAAAAAAATTAACACAAAATGTGACAAGAGTATGTAACATCTATTAGATTGTGTGCTGATAAATTTTTTAAAGCCAATAGATTTACTTGATGGAGTGGGTGACATAAAGTGAGTTAAGGAGATGTATAGATCTGAAGAGATAGAAACTGTAGGCCTAATATTAAAACTAGTAACAGAAGTACTACTGATCACTGGTGAACTGCTACTGACCACTGGATCTATAGTATAATGTATGATGAATAAATCATGAATATAATTATAATTACTAACCTATTGTACAAGGGTTAAAATCTTCTTTAGCAGTAAAGTTAGACCAGTAACTTGATTCCTTGTCATATTGTATTCCTTCTATAGTAGTATTGTATAATGTTTCATTACAGTCTATTCCTTCAAGGTATATATAATGATTGTGACTATTAAGTGTTTGATAAAAATGCAACAGACAGTTCATTTGACAGGAACATAATGTTGTATTATATTGAATACAACGAGTGGATGATAATTTAGGAGGCAAGCCAAAACTATCTGGCAACAATAAAGTAATAAACAAGTTTCCATCTTTAGCACAGTTAGTATAATGTGAAGACCAGTTATGTGTCACATTAGAGAAATTGAGATCAGAAAACAGCTCACAATTGCCATCTTGAACACTTCCATTAAAAAAACTGACAGCACTCGATCTAAATGTATAACTTTAATTCATAAATCAGTTACTATTATAACTTACTGAGCATATGTACTGTAGCAGGTATCTGAGTCTGCTTGTGATACTGGAATAGTCCCTCCACTACATGATAAACCTGTTGTATCCATATAAATTACATTATCATGAAATAGTCTTGCACTTACCTCTACAAGTCACTATAAAGTAAGCAACAAAGAGACTGAATTGAAACAGAGCAACTGATATCATTGTGAAAAATCTAGCAAATATGCAGTGGGAGGGGCTTAGTAACCCAATGCCCATCACATGTTCCATAGATTATACATTTTTAATGTCATTCCTGTGACACAAAAATTCATTAACTACTATAAAAAACCAGCTCAGATTTTGAAAGCACAGCAAGAAAGTGAAGAAGCATCAGCAATTAAAAATGATAAAAAATAGTTCAGTAACCAAACCATAATATTACTCATGTAGATAAAATTATGCAATAAAAGTATAGCAGAAG